TGTGTCCATCACCCGCGAAGTGACAGAAGGTATTATTATTTAATGCCTCAGTCGGAAGTATGAACATGACAGTGGGCGGTGCGAAAATTTCAGACTCTTAAAGGTGGCAAAAGTGGACGCTGGCTTAAAAAAGGTTGACAAGCACTCAGATGGTTCAGTCGGTTCTGCTCTGGTAAGGTCTGCCTACTCCTCCTGCTTGTCTTTGGACGTGTTGCTTCTGTCCCGGTCTGTTCCCAGTGAGATGATATGGGTGTTGTCACAATGGCTCTTCATAAATTATAACTGGGACAACAGGATTTATCACAGATGTTCAGAATCCTCTCCTTCTTCTTTCTCTCTCTCTCTCTCTCTCTCTCTCTCTCTCTCTCTCTCTCTCTCTCTCTCTCTCTATCTCTAGCTCTCTCTCTCTAGCTCTCTCTCTCTGGCTCTCTCTCTAGCTCTCTCTGTCTCTCTGTCTGTCTTTTCTTTTTTTCTTCGGCTCCCTCTCTTTCTCCTTCCCCCTCTCTCTCAAATTCAAATAGAACTGTCTTCTATTGCACCTCCCTGCACGTAAAAATGGAGGCTGCCTGCAACGTCATGACTTCTGCGTGTTTTGATTCCGACAGATGTACCGGAAGCTGGAGGAGGGAGGTACTGAGCAACAACTTCCGAATCACGGAATAACGGTCGTTGATGACTTCCTGCCGTATGAACCTCAGCCAGAGGATGTTAGGTAGAGCTGAAAGGCTAAAAGTTAACGTTTTACAACGCTGTTTAGGCGTTTCTAATCGCGGGGGCACAAAGGGGGAATAGTAACTCTTTAGTCATTCTCTCTTGGACTCGCACTTCCTGGGAGAGGCACACGCTTCGTATTGTAGTAGTAGTAGAATACAGGATTGTATTCCTTCGAAAGTCATCACTACGCCAAATTGGTTCATGTGATTAACTGTGACTTAGGATACTAATAAGATTCTCTTGACCTACCTGTCCCGTCGTTTTGTGCAAGAAAAATTATGAAAATATGCAAAATGAGCCCAAAAATGTGAAATTATGCGATTCCGTTAATTTTAACAAAGAATGATAAAGGAAAATAATAAGAAATTATGCAAAAATTTATCAAATTTTGCTAAATTGTGCGGGGTGCATAAAACAACGGGGACAGACTTACGCTTGTGGGTTTGTAAAAAGTACATGAAGGTGTTTTACGCCGCCAATCGACACACTGTTATTTAGATCGTTTAGGAGGCGGACTTCGACCCTGCCTGTCATGGACGACCCGCGCTGAAAGAGATTCATCATCCCAGCAGAAAGACCGAGACGCTGGATAGTAAATAATATTACCCACACGGGAATCGAAAAAAAGAAGAAGAAATAACCCGAAGTAAAACAAAACCGCAAGTCAAGAAACGAGCGAGACTGTGTGGTGCGTGAGAGTGAAAGCAGCGCAGGAGATCAATAAATTTTCTTTATTGTTTTTTGTTGGGTTGTTTTGGGTTGGGTTTTTTTTTTTGG